ACTATGAACATTGAACAAAACTGTATCAAGTACCCCTGTGTCTCTTCCCAAACCAAGTACAATTGGTCCTAAACAGTATTATCTGCACTTTAGTATCTGAGCCAAACTAGTACTGCTTGAAAACTAAACACTCCCCAAGCTCCTCACTAAAATATACAAAATTTAAGACATAAGTGAATCCTACATCTACTATTTTTATGAAGAGACAGACAGAAGTATATTGCTATACATTCATTAACCATTTATAATAGAACTCACGCTATCCTTGTTGCCAGTGGTTTGGTACTTACACTTAAGCATTTGTTGAAAAATTTTCTGATTTAATATTCTGGAAGTTTGCCTGAAGAAAGTGCTCGTGATCAGGACCACAGAGCACAGCTGCGAATTTAGAAAGATATTTAGAGCAAGAGTTCTACTCAGGGGTGAAAGCATTTTTCCAAGAAGCCTTAAGAATCAGATGCAAGTTCTACCATATGACTTTATGAAATGTATTTTAATCTGACATCATGCACTGCATATTTGAGCATATAATCTATTTTAAGACACTTCTACAGAAAACCATTATAATCAAATGCAATGACTGGCATTCCTACAATTGCAGGAAGGAAAAACAATACAGATTGGAAAAAGAAATTAATTATACAGCATTTCTCTGTAGTCTTATCCCATAAGTTTCATTTTTATTACAACCTTCCATGGATTTGGCAGATTTCATAGACTACTAATTAAAAGTCCAGTCTCAGTAGAAGATAACATAAGTGGGAACCTTCAAAATTTCAAAGGATAAGCCAGATACCTAGGTATTTCCTAACTACAAATGTACCTATGACTAGTCCATCCTTGGCCATCTAAAAAACTATGAGTGGATGGGGTTTTATTTTGTTTTGTTTTAAATTACAAGTAGGGAAATGCATTTATAGACCGTCTCATAAAATGTAAGAGAAATAACTATATACGTATACTTACCGGTATTTCTCTTTAATCACAAACTATAAAGACTACCATCTACACATTAAGAAAAAAACTTAGTCTCAAGAAAAAGAGGAAAATTCCTTTGTGCAGACATGATCCTGCATGGAATTCTTAACATTATTGAGACTGAAAGACAGACACACGTTCCAATCTGAAGAAATTCCAACACTCACCATAAGAAAAATCCAAATCCACATCCTACACTAATGAAGATATTTTTTCTGAGTAGAATAGCAAGTAAACAACAGATAAGAGATACTGTATACTCTCTATACTGGGGTTACTTTAAGGATGGCTGCTAATACTAGCAAAAAAAAAGATATAAACTAACCCCCAAAAATATACTAAGCAAATATTACACCCATATATTTTAACTTCACAGGAAAATCTTATCTTAAATATCAAATCCAAAATTATTTTCCTGACTTAAAGGGGAGAATTATTGTAATTTGTAACCAACACAGAAATAAGAGACTAAGAATGCTAAGAATAAAAATGCCGTTTAAAAGATTCTTGTTTGAATATCTGAATATCTTTGAATGTCTAAAATTGGGAGTGGAAAGCATATAAACAAGTTAGTTTTCCTAAATGGACCTAAATCATTATGACAGTTTGAAAGTATTAAAACTAATGCCTACATAAATCTCAAACATACCTAGAAATTTTTTTGTTGCATTAGATGCTATTGTTTTCCAGATAGAGCACAAAAATAGAACTGCAGTTCAAGAATGCCTGAATGTAGAATAAACAGATATGCAGTGCCCTTATAGCAGGTTTAGATAACCCATATATGAGATTATACAAGAACAACTACTGATCTTTGATGCATGTCTTAATACATATTAGTTTTCAGTTGTGAACAACTGAAACCAGGGAATTCTGTACTATGCCAGGGATTGTTTTAACAGCTTAGCAGGACACTAACACAACTTGTAGGAATGGATCAACATTCTAAACCCATAATGGTGCATTTTTGTGGCCTATAAACTGTAATAAATGCATTTGTCCAACAAAGGAGTGGGTGGGGGAATTAAGTCAAAATTACAATGGTACTTTTTGTCCAAACTACAAGGCAACTGTGATGGTTTAAATGTCATGGTTGGGTAAAAAAGGAAAGTAGTATTAAAAACAAAACAGCGTCCTAAATTTTGATTGTGGTACCTGATTTTTACATCCATTTATTTTTCTATAATTTTATGTATTTTTTATTCATGTTAAATACCTGTTTCATCATCCATGTAATAGCAAGCAACTGTGAATGGCATGCTTTAGGGAAGAATGTTTCACTTTCAAAGGACAGTGCTCATACAAACTGATTACTTCTGAAACTAACCAACAGGGAAGAATATCCTAGTACAGTAAATTTCATCTCATCCTTTGTGCCACTAAACCAGGTATGATCAATTACATGCTCTGTACTGCTCTCTTTGTGAAATAAGCACCTGCCTATAGGCAAGATTAACCTTTAAGCAGCTTGCTTAAGGAAATATTTTAAGAGTACAGCTCTAAAGTCTTACCCAAACTAAAGTGCTCCAGCAGGTAGGAAAGGTGCAAAATCAAAGCACTCCTGTGCAATCACTGATAACATCTCTATATATTTGACCACAAACTATATTCGAAGAAATATACAATGATACATTTTCCTGCTTCACTTACCTGAGGCTTAAAAACTCTTACTACTGAAAACAGACACTACTATAATGTTATGAAAAGCTGGTGTCACAAACTGAAGGTAAAAATGGGACTTGGTATGTCACAGTTATTTATCAGTGAGATATACTTAGAGATGCTATTTAAATTCTATCTCATGTTTCATCAAAGGGCATTTGCCAAGTGAGTATGTACTGCCTCTTAGAGTCAAAAATTCATCTTTGTCCAAAAACAACAAGCAGACAAAAATTACTTACCTGTAGTAATGCTGATTATGTAAGGTTCCAAATGAAAGCTGCAGTAGTTCCACACTAATATGCAAAAGCCTTTAAAGTGTATGCTATGTAATTATTTGTCATTGCTATTTGTATTTTGTTTCCTTGATAGTTTCAAAAATACCACAAGCATGGCTTATTCTTGCAGATAACACTTCAAAACTCTTAATATTACAAGCTTTGAAAAACTTTTCTCTTTTTTAAAAATTATATAAAATGTTTTGTACAAAAGTACAGTAAAATAAAAAGCACCCCTTACAATAAAGCCCATTTTAGACACACTCCTTCCCAAAATCACACAGGATAACGTGTCAATACGACTTTACTTATTTTTAACTATTCCTAAGAGCATGGACAGTAACTCATTTTCTGTTGACAAACGGGATGGATTCAGTGCTGCCCGATTGGTTTATTTGAAAGCTAAGATTCTCACTAGCTTCTTAAGTAGACTTTGACTGAAACGCCAACTGCTCAGATTGCAACCTTTTCTAGAACAAATAAACTGCAGTAATAATCTTGCTGTAGGAATCTTTTTTTATGTTTCTAGCTTCACAGTGTTGATGGACAGGTAGAAAGAACTACGTTTAAAGAACAAAGGTGAACACAAAAAAAATAAGATAAAGGAAAAAAATCACTTCCTCTCTCTCCCCCCCCCCCCAAAAAAAGTCTGTACTTCTGCCTCCCAGGTTACTCTTACAATAGATGTGAACTTCATAAAGCAAAAAGCTATATTTACTTTAAAAAAATATAATTTCTCAAGCTGGAAAAGCCTTTTCCTATTCACAATCTTAGTGCTGACTTTTTAAAACCATCTTCCAGATAATAAGACATTATTTGTAATAAAAAATAAGATCACAGAAGGTGTGATAGTAAAAGCGATGATTTGTCGAGATACTCATTTCATATTTTCTCTGGTATTTTCTGACAGCCATAACAGTGGTGTACATTAAGTTTCTGAGTGGACATTTATGAATGGTGCTCCACATTTTAAGGGTTGTTGTTACAAGTAGAGGCTTCTGTATCTTTTTCCAAATCATCCAATACTTCCTTGCACCCAGAAAGATAGAATATCAAGATTATGAAAGAGGAGGATGACACTGATGAAATATTGTCAAGGTTATTACTATTATTAAGATGTTACAGCTTCACCAAGTTTAAAAATCTGGATTTCTTACGTTAAGGAGCACATAAAGCCTTTGGCTCAATTTCCAGAATCCATATTGACACACAACAGATTAAAGAGGATGCAATGTTTGATACGAAAAACTATCTCAATTCTACACAGCATATAGTATGTTCATTTCTGTCCTTTATCACTTCAACACAAAAAATTTGCATAACTGTGTGATGTACATTTTGCACAAGACAATTTTAATAATGCGCCACCAGTCCTATTAAACGAGATATTTTCCTCAAGTCTTGAAGTTTTCAGAAACTGAAAAACAAATTCTACAAAGCATTTGTTCCCTTTGCATTGTAAGTGCACTTGCATTATGAAAAGATAAAATATATCCTAATGAATGTATTTTACACCGATTTCATTAATACCTTTCAGTTAAAAACAAAGGCCATTTTTATTTTTAAACATTACTATGGGGTTTTTTTTATTATTTTAGGTCTTTCAGCTAGCTAGAATATAAGCTTCCCTTACAGTGGGAAAAAGAGCGTGAAGAGTAAGAAACAAGTACAGTGCTTGTCAATTAAATTTCTATATAAGCAAAAATGTACACACAAAGTTTAAATATTGGCAACATCAGTTTTTCTATTATACAACTTCACACTACTTTTTAGAGTATTGCAAGATTTTTTTGGCACAGCAACTTAGTTTAAGTTTTTGGTTGTTTTGTTTGGTTGGTTGGTTTTATAAAAGCATTTATTTTACTACAACAGTAGCAAGGTAAAGAAACAGTAAGCAGTTATGAACAAATGCAATTATACCAAGAGAATGATACTGCCTCCCCACATTGCATTCTTCAAAAATTCTACCAGGAAAATTTCATCTGTTTCCAAAGGCTTTTTCAAAATAACGAAAATAATGAGCAATCCATCTTCCCTTCCCCCCCAGTATGAATCATAAAATATAAAATTCAATAAAATTCCTACCTCTTTCATTAAGACTGTTTAGCACTGCCCTTTCAAGTTGCTCTTCTTCAGTAAGCCCACCTGTATAATCGTAATAGTTCCTTGGCGTTCCATACTGGTAACTTGAATAGCCATAATAGTCTGTAAAATGAATACAAAATAAAGCAAATAAACTGCTGCTACTCAGTAGGAGAGTGTGGAATCAGACATCACCTTTATGTTATCTTTCTTCTACAGATTATTTTAACTTGTAAAAGATAAAAATACTAGAATTCAATTACTTGTACAATATGTACCATGAAGCAATTTCTAATTTACAAAGCCAGACCTTGGTAATAGGAGAAAGAAAAACAACAGTAAAAAGATGCATGAAATCTTATTTTTTTCTAATTGTTGTGTCATAGAACTGTTATTAGTAACAAGTTTCATATTGAAATCAAAAGATACTTTTCATCAGCTCCTTTTAACATGCAATTGTCACTACTAGGACAACTTATTAATGTCACTAGAACAGCAACAACAGGTAGGTTTCAGGCTTTTTTTCACCTGCCTCCCCCTTTCCCCCAGTATCCTTAAACTATGTCATCATAAATTCAAATAATGTTTGGACCTAGAAAACAAGTGAGAAAATACTCCTGCAAGTTTTTGCAGTAATATATGCAGCTAACATGGTGCTACTGCATAGATACATTCCCCCCTAGAAAAAAACCACCACACCATAGATCTCATCTAATGTCACAATCACTCTAAGTTTCCCATCCTGCTGACACCCAGAATTTCTGGTCATTTACCAAGTTTGTCAAAACAAACATAACCCATAATACACACAAACACACAGGATTTAAAAGAAAAAAATATACTTGGCTAGAGAATTGAGCAAGGCTTTCTTCCTTTTAACACAAGTTGATCTTGCCTGGGCACAGAAAATCTAAACTGAGAAAAAACTAAAAAGTTCCATTTCTCTATTCCGTTTTTGCTTCTTCAAAATTAAAAGCTTTGGGTGACATTTTAACTTCTCTTTGAGACAGCTGGACAGGGAAATTGAAGAACCAAAATACAGAAATGTTGCCAGTTTCTGACAGAAAACGTACACAAGTTTTTTTTTAAATTACATAATTCAAAATGGTTTTGTATGAAACAAACTGAGCATTACTATTTCCCTTCATCTTCATATTATTAGCATCTATTAGAGTCTTGCGTTATCTCATCAGTTATATGGATTCCATATGTAACTTTCTGTGAAGTTTCTGTGATTAATAACAAACACAGACTATGAAGTGAGGAGATAAATAATTTCTTCTTAAAAATTATTGTGTTAAAGAAAAAAATCCCAAGCTCTAGAATCTTAAGACAAATAAAGGAAGTGATACCCTACCTTAAACTGGAAAAGCAGGAAAAACAGAACACTGCACACTATTCTTCATAGGAGTATACAGATACAGAATCACAGAATAGTTAGGGTTGGAAAGGACCTTAAGATCATCTAGTTCCAACCCCCCTGCCATGGGAAGGGACACCTCACACTAAACCATGCTACCCAAGGCTCTGTCCAACCTGGCCTTGAACACTGCCAGGGATGGAGCATTCACAGCCTCCCTGGGCAACCCATTCCAGTGCCTCACCACCCTAACAGGAAAGAACTTCTTCCTTATATCCAACCTAAACTTCCCCTGTTTTAGTTTCAACCCATTACCCCTTGTCCTATCACTGCAGTCCCTAATGAAGAGTCCCTCCTAAACATCCTTATAGTTCCCCTTCAGATACTGGAAGGCTGCTATGAGGTCTCCACGCAGCCTTCTCTTCTCCAGGCTGAACAGCCCAAACTTTCTCAGCCTGTCTTCATATGGGAGATGCTCCAGCCCCCAGTCATCCTCGTGGCCCTCCTCTGGACTTGTTCCAACAGTTCCATGTCCTTTTTATGTTGAGGACACCAGAACAGCACACAGTACTCCAAGAGAGGTCTCATGAGAGCTGATTAGAGGGGCAGGATCACCTCCTTCGTCCTGCTGGTCACATATATCTATTATGCACATACTCCTACAGGTATTTTATATACACCTGTGTGTACAAAGATGTATGTATACATTATACACAGAGCAAAAAGATTTAATTTTGTCTGTTTGCAAATTTTTTCCTTTTTGGAACATACAGTTGACATGGGGAGAATTTTCATACGTCTTGTAGTGAACATTTTGCATTACCCTCCATCAACTCCTCTGGTCAGAAAATACTTTTGTCTTTTCATCTGTATGAATTAAGGTCATTTTCAACAAACTTTAAGGGCCTTTAAGACCTACTGGCTACATTTAAGAGGCAATATTACAGAAAAGCAAAACTGGCTACAGAATACCATTTAACTGTTACACATACACATTTGGGATGCAATCTTCCTGTAGTCTCCTCATTCCCCTTTGCATTATGCTAATTTGAATAAACTTTTTCTCAGCTACAAATTTATTTTCTGAAGGCTTCAAAAAACTGCATAAATGAAGATTACGAAAATTCTGATACTAAAAGCATGAAATTATCTGATGAAACAAGAAGGGTGTGGTATTTTAAGTTTGTTCTATTACTGTAAATTTTATATGTTTGATATTTTACACTGTCATCAAGTTATAAGTGCTCAGTTTGCCCTAATCTTTTCTGCTACAGCTGGTATTCCAATTAATCAAAATAAACGTCCTAATACTGTTTTCACAAAGTGCACTTAGAGAAAACAACTTAGTTACTAAATACTAAACATGTTAAAACTACACTTTAAAACACTTTTTTTTCTTATAAAGCCCTTTGCTTGTAGCTTTATGAAATCCGTTCTGATTATAAATTTATCTTTTTCTATTTAAATTGGTATTTAAAAGCAAATAGTAATAAATCAGCAATATCAGAAAATGAAAAAAAAAAAATCAAACAAGAAATGCGGCATTAGCCCATGACACCAAAGATACTTTTCCTAATTCACAGATAGCCAAATTTTTTACATGTATTATACACCAGACAAAAAGTTAAATCTTCCATACACACATAAATAGGATGAAAGACAATTACAAACTATGTACACAAGGAATTATCATAAACATAGCTTTTTTTTAACTGCAGTTGTAAGTCATTTTAGAGAAATTAATTTAGTACAAAACCAGAACACCACCACAAAAAAAAAAAACTACCAAAAAAACCCAAACCAAACCAAAAAAAAAACATCAAAAATTTGGTTACATCTAAAGCCAAACTTGGAAGACAAGATAGTTCAGGTTAACCCTCTCCATTACACTCCTTTTGCCACAAAAACTCAGAACAGCATGGCTATTTTGGGGACTGCTCAAGACATGCAAAAAGCTACAGACTTCCTTGTTGTCAGCATATAGAAGGTTTTTTTTCTCAGATGCCAGACATATTGCAAATTAAAAGGCTATTCACAGTCTGCTCCTATATCACAGGGGTGGTCTTTTACACCCACCCAAGCTCCAAGCAGCTGGTGTTTGTACAGTAGATTATGGAGTTTAAATGTCAAATACAAATTCTTATCTTCATTAGCCATTAAAGTACCTTTACCAATATAAATCTTTTAGAGTTCCCATTCATCCTGCTGTACTGGGATACTGAAGGAAAATTGAGCATCTATGAACATGGAATAGAGAGCAATGCAAGCAGCACACCCAGGCTCTGACAGACTGAACAGTACGTGTACGTAGGCGAACATCTTCAGCTGGGCTGACACTGGCAGTCGTGGAAACACGGAGCTTGCGCTCACTACACAGGCTATGTTCACATCTCATTTCATTTCAAAATATTATTTCTTTACTAGCCTTTAGATCAAGTGTTTTTTACTTGAGAACTGGAATAATGGAAATCCTGGGTAAATTTAAGTTATTACAATCCTTGTTGCTGTTGGTCAGGAAAGTAGGTCAATATCTTTTGGTCAGGAAGTACAAAACAAGTGCTTCAAAAATATTCAAGGGCCTAATCTCGCTTGTGGGAATTATTTAATTATTTAATTAATTGCATTATAATGAAATTGGAGGTAGATAGCAGAAGACAAAAATCTACCATGAAAAATAAAACCAGTGCTCACCTTGGCTCAGTGTGGTTTGAGTAAGCACATATTGCTTATTAAAGACTATTAAAAAAATAAAAACTCCTGCATTACTAAGCATCAGAGAATAGTAAGAATGATCAACCATACAAAATAGCTTTTGTGTAAGTAACCATATAGACAACTTTTCAACCAGATAAAAACTACATGACTATGGTGAGTCAATCCTGGTGAGGACTGAATTCTATAAAACCATAAAGAATGAAGTACATGTAGAATGAAGGTTTAGGTTCTTTTAGTTTCCCTTCCTAGTGAAGGATTAATGTGCATCAAATGAAATTAGCGGCTAGCAGATGCAAAGCAAACAAAAATGACAGATTCTACACCAGAAAGTAAACTGTGAAGTAATTCTTCTGTGATGATGTAGGTGTTAAAAAAGTTCATGCAGATTCAAAGAGCTTTTGACAAATTCATAAAAGAAGAATCTACCACAGACTATTAAAGACAAAATTCCTCCATAGAACTTGCTGCTGAGAACATCTTAAGCCACAAGCCACTGCACAGTGGCAAGTATTTGAGGGAGGTATCACTACATATTTACCTTGTTCTTACAGCAGGTGGTTAGGAAAGAGTAAAAATCACTGCAGGAGATAACATACTCTAAGCTATACATCCCTCAGCTTTGATCCAACACACAGCCCCTCTCACAGCTGGCTCCTCTCCTGTCCTCCTAGACAAGGCCTCCACCTATTATTTCTATACACACCACATATAATTATTCCACCTACGTAAGAAGTGGATCAAATGCGCTATATTCAAAGTGTGCCAGTATTCTAACTATTCATCTATATACTGTGAAGAAAGCCTAAATTTATTCTGTCGAGGAGTGGGCTTTTTCCATGTAAATTACATGGTTTACAAAAAATGTTCAAAGGAAGAAATTCCCTCGTGAGTAGGGGAAGTCCTAGAATGGAACAGATAAAACTGCCAGAGCAGGGCAGATTTACCAAAGTTCAGCAGGCTGCTTTCACTAGACACAATTCCCCCTCCCCGCTACACCTTCTGCAAAAGAGGTGTTATTTCCCCAGGGTAGAATTTTATGACGTCATTAACTTAATTCCACGTTTAAAGCCTCTTGTACAAAATACATCCACTGTTCCCTAAAAAGGAAAGGCAAGACATGCCCAAAGTAGTATGTTTAGCATGTACACATATGCACAGAATATTTCGTATCTTATATATGTTTCCATTTAACTAGCTCCTCTATAGGTTTTCTATCATTAACAAAAATTATTCTTTTGAAGCTGGAGTAAATGTTTAGGTAAGCAGGTGAGAGTACTTACCTGAATAGTAATCCCTTGGCCTGGCAGGGTCAGACATTGAAAAAATGCCACCTAAATATAACACATGTACTATTAGAATAAAATAATAACACCTGTCTTCATAAAATACAAAAATCAAGTTTAAAATACTTTCTTTCAGAGTCTGTTTCATCAGACACAACATGAAACCATGAGTATCTATCAATTTTTTTAGCATTAGTGAGGGAATATAGTATTGGTAAGCCTGTATGTTGTTCCAGATTTTATAGTAATGTGCCATGTTTAAGCAACATACTCATGTAGACTGAAAGTACAGGAAGCAACCTACCAAATGCTCTCCAGAATATATAATGGATAATTTCTGCACTGAGACTGTTCATTGATAAAAATGGTGTCATGGGTTCAGCAGCAGCAGTCATTTTTTCTCCTTCTTAGTAGCTGGTGCAGCGCTGTGGTTTTGACTTTCGGCCTGAGAACAGCACTGATAACACCAATGTTTTTAGTTACTCCTCAAATATTTAGTCTGACCAAGGACTTTCTGAGCCTCATGCTCTGCCAGGGAGTGGGGGAAGCTGGGAGGAAGCAGAGACAGGACACCTGAACCAAACTGAGCAAAGAAGTATTTCATACCACAGCACATCATGCCCAGGATGTGATTGAGAGTTACCCGGAAGGGCTAGTTCACTGTGGGCTTGGACTAGGTATCAGTCAGAGCTCGGTCAGGCTGGGTATTATCAGTCAGCAGGTGGTACAGTTTTCTCTTCCCTTGTTATTTCCTTTATCATTTATTATTATCGGTGGTAGCAGCAGTGATTTGTGTTAGTACCTTAGTTACTGGACTGTTCTTATCTCAACCTGTGGGAGTTACATTCTTTGATTCTCCTTCCCATCCCTCTGGTGGAAGAAAACGGGGGGGGGGGGGGGGTAAGAGAGACTGCGTGGCTGATTTATGGCTGACTGGGTTTAAACCACAACAAATAGGTTAATGCACAGAAAACTGAGGACTGGAATAACATTGTACTATTTCTGCTCTCGTCCACAGGAGAAGATGACAACCTGTGTACTAGTACACTCCTTCCTCCAGGTCTTAAGGCACACAACAGGATCTCCATAGCATGTGTCACTAGCAGTACCATGAATTTTATCACAGAATCCTAGAATAGTTTGGAAGGGACCTTAGAAGGTTCCTAGCCCGACTCTACTGAGAGCAGGGTTAGCTATGAGATCAGGTTACTCAGTCAGGGCTTTATCTTGTTAAGTCTGAAAAACATCCAAGGATGGAGACTGATGAACATCCCTAGGCAGCATGATCGGATGCTTGACTGTCCTAACAGTCATCAGATAGCCATAGAAACATGCAATATTAACATTAAACTCATGCGACACTTTGACACCTGTGTGCTTCGGTGGAGTAGGAAATCTGATGTTTCGATCTCTATTTTTCCACTTAAAACTTCTAAATACACATGATTTACAGACTGTATCACCAAACTGTGATAAAACCTCCTGTGAAGAGCATACATATTTGAACAAATAATTTCCCACTGTACAAACACCATATCCATGGTCATCTTGATGGCACAGTCATGAATAAAGTACTCAACCTATCAAGTAATCACAAATAAAAACCAGATTGCCTAAAAACTTGCTGGAATGGCCTGGATTTCTGTATGCAAGGCTTTCTGAATTTTAAAAATAAAAGAGTCTCTTACGCAGATTTTATAAACTGAACAAAACTATATACCTGCACAGGCTTCCATAATCTTCTTCAGAGGTCCCCTAGTGTACATCAATCCAACAAGAATCCCTGCCAGATGCCCAGCAAAAGAAGTCCTGGAAAAAAGGAAAATCTTGTGAGTGATGGAAAGAAAAATTCCTTTTTTTTTTTTAAGGATCCAGAAAGGGGACTGCAGACCTTGTAACCAAGAAAGTACTTAAGTGAGCCCAAGCACAGAGAAATGACCTGCCTGAAAGGACATACTGCCCAGTTGCTTTTCTTCGTAGCTACCTTAAAATTGGTAGGTATATATACAGTTACAGAAAAGTATCTAATAAATATCCAGAAGAAGCTAGAAACTAATTGAACAGATTTTAAGTGCTTGTTTACAGAACAGAATACTGTTTCCCAAAAGCACTGAAAGACTTAAGGAGGTAGGAAATTAATTTTAATCTATAAAAAAGTAAAACCACATAATTATGCTGAAATGTCTTGGTAAGATCTACTAAAACCATTCACAGTTTCAAATTAAAGCATAAAATACAGTACTTTCTACTGCACTATCAGTACAGTCCTACAATTAGTCATGGATCAGCATTAATGCAAATCCACTGCAATCTTTTTAACAGTGTTTTCAAAATTAAAAGAATGAGTGAAATGCTGAGATGCAAATTCTTTTCTATACGTACAATTTCTTCAAAAAAAGATCACTGCCATTTGCACTTAGAATGAAAGGGCTCTAGAACCTTTTGAGAAGTCAACATGGAGGAGTATGTTCACAGTAACTAATTTGCTTCAAATACTTCCATGACTGTGGGGTATTCTATAAATTCATAAACTAATTTTCACAGCATTCAAATTAAGAGTTAAACTCTTATGTTTAATCAGGTTTAAACATTAAGAGTAAAATCTTTTGAGTTTAACCAGGTTTAAAGCTACTTATAAATTGTCTACCTCTTATGAAGTCAGAGAAGCCAATACACTAAACATTAAGATTTGCTTATACATGCAATTATAAATAACTCAGTTCACTAGATTTATAATGTTCGTCCAAAGATTCAATCCTCTGTTTGATGCAAAAATAGATTTAAACATTACGCGTTTTTACATTTTGGTCAGAAATCCACAAGAGTTACACAACTGATGGTATATGAACTCACTACATATACAACTTCCAGGCATCACTGGTGTACAAGAATGTGTCACTAGAGGGAGATGAAGATCAAATCTAAATTCACTCTTTTGTCACCTACTTAATAAGAAGCTTTTATTCTGCTATGTCGAGTTGCATTTCTGTCCTGTAAGTAAACAATGAATTTTTGTTTTAGAGTAACACATAAATGCTGATGTGAAAATCTATAGATAGGAGGTAGTTACCAAAATAAAGTATCTATAAGGAACTCATTTTCCTAACAGGTTTTTCTGAACAGATCTTCCAAATTTGTGAAAAATATATCCCTGACTTGGAAAATATCTGTACACAGAAAACATTAGGTATTTCAAGACGTCTTACTCTAAAAATCACCAACATGAGACTGGTTCACCTATATTCCTGGCAGTGTTTTAACAACTTCTATGCTTATCTTGATTTATCTGAGCACAACACTGTTTCACAAAATCCAAAATCAAGGTCTTTGCTCGCAATGCAGTGAAGCTATATATTTACACAATATGAATAAACAAAAAACCTTCAACTTGAAGTCTTTAGGGGGGTGATTTCCACTTCATGTCTACTGAATAGGCTAGTGTACTAGACACCTAAACACTACTTATGGTTTAATTATAAATTATATTAAGGAGTAAAAACTTGTAATGCAAATGTTTAAACAGGGTTTTCTAAATGAAAAATTAAAAAGCATTCTCCCAACTGTTTTGAGGATGGGTAAGGTTCCAAAATACTGTAAGAGTGTTTCTATACCCATTCTTAAGCAGGGGACAAAACAGGTAAACAGATGAGAACTCTCATCAGAGAACTACAGACTAATGACTACCTTCTGTTCGCAGGTAAAACTATTTGTTCAACAAATACTAGGACATATAATTTGTGGATACAATCAAGGTAAAAATGCCAGATACGGAAAACAGTTTTGTGAAGAACAAAGGATATCAAATCAACCAAAATTCATCCTTTTAGAGGATGACAAGCCCAATGGAAAGGAAGAATTAGCAGACATCACACATGCTGTATAAATGCAGAACTGTCTTACTGCATTTGTCATAAAGAAGGCTTAAAAACTTCTAAAACTACACTAAGCAGATACCTAAGTGGCTGATAAGCCTACCTTAATATTTAAAAGTGACTCATTATCAAACTTTGGATATGAATCCACTGGATTTCTTTAAAAATCTATTCCAGTTATTATTTACAAATGACAAGCTAAGAGAAGCCCTACGGGTCACTGGAGACGGTACTATAATTCACAGCAACCTGGACAAAATGAAATAGTGTTTTGGAAAGAACAGGGTGCAAAGATAAATACAGAGTTCTGAACATACCACAGAAATCATCAACTATACAAACAGGCTACAAGTGACTGATAGAAGACCTTCAGGACAGAACATGGAGCACACAGTAAAACACAGATCAACATGCCATACCACTATAGAAAAGACATGTATTTTACTGAAAAAATGTTAACGGGATATCTGAAAATAAGATGAAGTAGTTTTCTGCTCAGCAGTGGTCTCTACAATCACCTAAGTCTATTGAAGAATTATCTCGCAGATAAAATAATCTTAAAATATGGAAAAGATTGCCACAAATAGGAATGAATACACTCCGCATTCTCTATTCATAGGATAAGGATGAATGCACATAAGTCACAGCAAGAGATTAAAAAACACTTTGGTAGAGCAGACTGCCTCTGCTTCACAAAGGAAAATGAGAGGGCTACTAAGAGCCTGCAAAGCACAATCAGTTTATTAAAGTGAAGATCTTGAAAAGTGCATTAAACATCGATAACTATAAAGGATATTTACATTACATATACACATTTGTCCTTCTGAGGTTATAACTCAGAGCATGTATTCTGAGATTAGATTCACTCAGATCCTCTATATTCTCTTATTAAAAAAGTAGATTAGAATCGTTAAATTACATGACTGTTTTACACATGCAATTAATGTTCTTCCATCCACATGCCTTAGTCCAAAGTAGATACTCTTATTTCCAGTGAACTTAAATATATTTGAACAACTAATCCTGAATAATGTCACTCCTTTTGAAATTTTACTACATTTTACAGTGAATTTTTCAGTAGATTGTCCTTTTTGAAAATTTATGTAATGGATTCCTTGTCTACAAGGAGCTGCGATTTTTATCTTTATACATTAAGGTTAATGGCAAAACTACAATTTTTTTCCACAAGGCAGAATTATATGCAGAATTATATGCAGAATTATATGCAGAATTTAAAACTAAATGCCATGGATTTTGGCTGAAAATAAGTTAATAAACAATTTACAAGGAATCACAAAAGTAGTGCGAAAAGCCCTGTCCAAGCACATATTACCAAAGCTCTTTTCACTTGTACTAAAATTTCCAGTTTTCTTCCTTGTCTAAACCAGAAAACTGCAGTTACCCCTATTTTCTGCTTTCAGTAGCCAAACCTGGCTCTAATTAAAAACTCTTATAATATCAATGATAAAGGAACCTCCATTATCAGTTGATTCCAAAATAGACTTTTTACACTATTCTTAATATTTTTATGTCTTGACTGCAATGTGTCTTTTAGTAGGACTAATGAAGAACCATTCCCATGATTGCAACATGATAAACTACTGCCTTTTTTCCTGCTGGCTTAATAAAGAAAAACTGACATTTTTTTTACCACAGCACCATTTTCAGTTCCCATAACATAAGCTGAACTTTGAATGTGAATATAAACAAGGTTCTTGACTTCTTAAATAGCATGTTTTTTCTCAAAATGTCAATGAGCTTGATCAATATTAACTACTGTTCTCCCTGGTATCAAGAAATTCAAATGATGTCTCATTTAACTTTTTGTTTGAAAACTTAGATATCCCCAGAGATCTTATCTCAACCATTCACTTCATACTAAGGATAATTATACAATATAAATGCTGTTTCTTCAAGACATCTGCCATCAAGCTGATGTGTACATTACTTCAGAAAAATCTTCTAAACAAAATTACACTTTTTCATTCAACTGTATAATTTCCATTAAAACTGGTACCACTGGAGGGAAAACCATTTCTACCACTTTTCATGTATGAGATATCCTGACACAATGTTTACAAGACTCTAGTAATTTTTATATTAATATTGTCCAGTATCCTTACAATTAATTCAAATCATTTCCTCACTGTTTGTGAATTTATCCCAAGTTGTTTCAATTCTGTGGTCTCAGTCACCTGACTCAACAAATTAAAACAGAACAAGAAAGTCTATACCTATCACTTACTTTCATAACTTCTTCCTAACGGCAAACCCCAGTCTGGTAGGTATTATTATTATTTACTCATGCAATTCTACCACAAAACAAAGCCACTTATCTAGCAACAAAAGTATGTCTTTAGACTAGGCCATCACTACAGTCTTTTGTGAAAAGATCTTCCCATGCAATTCCTATTCTAAGGCTAGGAAGCACACATTCACTGAGCAAGCAAACTAAGGAATAATATCAAAGTGACTACTACCAACTTTATTTTTGAAAAACAATATTTTTTTTGAGACCATGGGAATCAAATCCATGTATATATACAGTTTATTTGCAAATTAACACAAGCAGACAATTGCATATGACAATTTAAGCACCTGACTAAAAAATTTAATCTTGCTTAGAAAGCAGGTCATGGAGTGCTAAGCAACCTACCTGAATGTAAATGAAACCAAATTACATGATTGCATAAGTAAAAGTCAGCTTATTTTACACAGCCTTATGCAAGAAAATGCCATTACCACTTAAAATGGAAATGGAAACCTTGTTAATAATTTTGTAACACACTGAGAAAATTACATAGAAAAGTAAAAGCTAAGCTTGACAGAAGAATGAAAGGGTATTAAACAGTTCTTACCACATAATGCCATTCCTTGTCAAACCTGGTGTGGTTTTGGGTTTTTTTGATCAGTTTTTCTTAGCCCTTTTGTTCATGATGAATAGGGCTCATTAATAAACCCAATAATTAACAGTTCAACAGTAAATCTGACTGATAACCAGTGACAATTCAGTGATATCCTTAAGCATTAAACAAGTGAGAAGTTAAAAGAGCAGATGAAATCAGAAGATAGATACATACAAAAGATCTCATAAGGTGAAGCTTATTAAAGCTATGCAACACATTTGTCAAAATATGTTCTTACATTTTCAAATATTATATAAATTAGTTTTTGTGGGGTTCTGGACTGTTGGTTTGGGGTTTGGAAGTTTCTGGGGGGATCTCTGCATTTGTATTACATTTACCTGCTTCGACTGCGATCTGCAGTCGAAACAGGTAAACAACTTCTTTATTTCCTGCAGATCCTTGAACCTAAGTGAAATGAAGCAACAATTAAGTCTACAGAACTCACTCAGAACACATTGATATGGTTTATTTAGAAACATTTAGAAACAAATTCAAGACTAAAACTAATTTAGAAAAAAATCTCATGTAAGAAGAATTACATATTTTATTGATTGCATCATTCACAGATATGCAAAACATTATCAGAGGCCTACCAAAACACAGGTCAAAAAGAAGCCTAGAGAAATGCCTAATTCAGTTTTCAGAGATGCAGTGAATGCATCTCTCTGCTGAAATGTTACACATCTCTGAGACCCTCTGAACTCCAGAACAGCAAATTTCTGACAAACTGCAAAAAGAACAATTCTGGATAGTCACAATATCAAATATCAACACTTCTGAACTCTGGGAAAAAAAAAAAAGAAAAAAAAAGAAAAACAAACCATCATCCTCTACTCTTTTCTACTCACCCAAAATTTTCATCCTTAGTTGCGCTTAACTGAGTTTTGAAAAAATCCATAATGTCCAGCTTCCAAAACCCAAAGTGTCATCTTTATCAATCCGATAAGTGTTTGAGTTAGTTCAGAAACAACCTCAAAGATAATCTTTTAACAGTGAGTATAGGTAGAGTACCTCCATGCAAAAGGAATAAATGACTTAAGATACCAAATGCCTAGTTCTGGAAGAAACGGAGATTAAATATAACTTTTCACATGCCTGTTCTTCCATCAAAGAAATAATGCCAAGGACTGCCATACAAAGCCTAGATCTCAATATCCTTACTTTATGGAAGGCAAAGATTAGAAGGATATTACACAGCTTTTAGATTTGCCCTAGAACCAAAACATTAATGAGAAAGAAAAGAATTAAGAGATGCCAGTAAAACCCTAATTCCTCTCACAGCACACAAATCAAAAGTTTTCAATAGCCTCAATATTACTCTTGAATCCTTCATTGGTTATGGATTCTCAGGTGACCCTGATGCATCATCCCACTAAGGCAAGTCCAAATACATTGCATGTCTTTCTGACAAGACAAATATCCTGCCTTAATTACTGACCTCTTATTTTTTCAAAACTAAATTATGCAACTTGATCTACAAAGCAACACCATTTAATCAGACACTTCAAGTATTACAACATGCCCTGAACGCACAGGAGTGTGTAGGAGAAATGTTCCAAGAGCTACAATTGTTATGGTTCATTTCAGGGCAGTTGGCAGGTAGTAATTAAACACGTTATGTTCTGGAACATGAATTTCTGGAGATAACTACTTGTCTTCTATGGCCCGCGTAACAACCAAGACTGTATGCAACAGTGTAGTGGTTCTTCACACCATGCAGCCATGTAAGTTTCCACAAAATTACAAAAGTTCTTTGACATTATTTCTGGACTTCTATACACTTTTACAAAGACATTTCTGCAATAATACAACTGAAAAACAACACCAGCCAGCTACTAAACTCGTGCTTTCCCTCTGCTAGATATAGTACAATATGCCCATGGTTGTACTTTAGACATAATGCTCTTTCATTATTCTTTAATAATAAAATAAACAGTAATATTGAACATATCACCAAGTAAAAACTACATTAAGCTAACATGCCAGTTTATATTTTCCTAGATTTTTTTTTTTAATACACTGAAAAATCTGGTTTATGTTTGTAGTAATGCCATGCAAGTGACTTCCCAGCTCACACTTAAAATTGCATGTGCAACAGAGCATTCTGCAGTTCTTCTGTGTTTTAGCATAGGATTACTTGCTGCAGTCAATCAGGCAGCAAGTCATAAAGGAATAAAACCAGTGCCTAACGTAAATAATATTTTAATTCTCATTCTGGTCTAGGAAACATTCTATCTGCTCTATCACACTATCCGACAAGACGAATATCATTATCGCTCCCCCTCACCCTTTTCATTTCTTTTTTTTTTAAACATCTTTCTGAAAAATGGAAAATTGTATATGAATTGCTATTTGGTAGCTTCCAAGTTCGGTGTTTGTACTTCACATATGGTCTCCAATGTGATGAACAGTTACTAAATATTATACAAGAAAATTACTGATTTGCAACTAGAACTCCATAAATCATCTGCCAATGAAGACAGACACTGTTCTCAAAGAGGTAGGCGCAGGTGAACTGTGCTAGCAGCAATAAGGACATGGGAAAATTGAGGGAGAGGATGAACAATGCTGCAAGGACAGTGAAACCACTACAAGTTGTAGAATACTGGATGATAACTTTACCAAAAATTAGAGGAGAGACTTCAAGAAATAGACTGAAGGGGTAAGGACAGAAATAGCAAGCAAACAGTGGAATGCTGTTTTGCCAATGAAGCCCTTGTCATCACAGTATATTAGTTTGGTTACTATACTGAAAACGCATGTCGCTTTTCCTTGTCCACCAATTTTTGTTATCTTCCTTCAAAGAGTAATACCTTTTTCTGGGCACAGTATTTAAGTGCCTTATTTTTAAATTAGCTCAAAATAGAGGATGTTTAGGAAAAAAATGCAGACTATAACCTTAACACTTGATTTAGCCCCAGTGCTCCATTTGGATATCAGCTAATACTACACATACTTCATAACACATTTCAAACTACTTCAGATAGCCCAAATCTCTTCTCCTAACTTTGAAACATTAAATGCACTTACCCTGGGGAGATTAAATGAATAGCCACCAGCTCCACCCAACAAGCATATTTACTGGATATCCGCAATCCAAGGACACTGCTGACTCTTCCAGGATTGTAATGGTTGTTAAGAACTTTCAAAGCAAACAAGACTCCTGCAAAATAGAAGAAATAATGTAAAAAGTACTTATGCCCAAGTATTTATGCAAACAAATACTGAAACTGAAGAGCATGTAGCTTCACAGACCACTAAGCACACTGTTGCACGCCTCAACTACAGTTCTAAACTGTTTCTCCAGTGTACTTTTCAGTAACTTAAACCCAAGGATAAAAATTATGTATAACACCCAATTCTAAGTTGCTTTTTAATATGCCTACTTACTGTACCTATTCAGGTATTCAAAACATGATTTTAAACATATAATACAAACATAATATTCAAGTAGAAGTTCTAGTTGAAAAAATTGACAAAATTATTTGAACTCAAAAAAATATTCTGTGAGCTGAGAAAAGCCATTACTGAGAACAAAACAAAGATACACATGAAGCCCAAATTCTGAATGGGAAATCATCTTTTATAATCTCCAGAATCATTTGTTTCTGGGAAAAAAAAAGCAGATAAAATGCTTCTAATCACAATAATGATTATTTACTTCTCATTGACTGCAAGTGTTTTATCTGTTTTATGCAAGCAATAGCTGGTATGGCAGAATGAATTCACATAATTTACTTGAACTTTCAGGATTCTTTTAGAAAGTTCCTCTCAAGAGAAAGCTCACACATTTGCTTGAAAAATCTACAAGGAAAAGATGACATGAAAAAGATAGCAGAGTTGAACATCAATATAGATAGACTGAATAAACACATTAAGAAGGTTTCTTTCTCTTCCCTTCTAACACCGGAGAAAACAAGGGTTAGCAAAATCCCTTAACTCATCCAGTGACAATAATGTTGTCATTCCAGGATCAAATATAAACGAGAAAGCACGTATGCACACACAGCCATGAGTCTCTCATAAGGCATGGGATGGGGACCCCATCTGGCAGACAACCAATATCTACCAGCCCCGCCTGCTAGTAGCACTGCTGTTCAGTATCTTAGTCCCTTTTGCCATAAGGCATGGGAAGCCATAAACCTGCATCACCCGGATAATTGTAACACTAAATGTAACTTGTTTGAGGAAAGGGACATGTAAATTACTATCTGGCTATGTAAGAAACTAGAGATTAATCTGGTGAAAAAAAAATAAAAAAATCTTAGAGTGAGATCTCAACACTACCCAATTACACAGTAGAGTACCTGCTTTTAATTAAAAACCAGGATAACTTTACTGGCATAACAACCAGATGCATGTAAACAAATGTACACCTATCCAGTTTCCACATTCTAATGTTGTTATATAGTACCTATATTTTACATATGTAAAATGGACCAACTATGTGCCTTACCTGAAAAACCTACAGCACAATTCATTTCATATGAAGGATCATCCAGAATTTTCACGAGCATGAATTCCAATGCCATATAGACAACTCCAATCAGCACTGAAAATACTACAATTATGTATGCAAACCACGTGCTCTTAAGTTTTTTTTCCAGCATTATTCCCTTCCAAAGCATGGAAATCATGTTATAATATAAATGCCAATCATCTACATGGTGGACAGGAGAAAGCAGTAAACGCTGCCAGTTCTTGTTGTAGAAGCCTTCATTTACACTGATACACACTTCAGGCAGTGGTCTCACAGGATTCAGAAAGAAAAAAATATTCAGTGCAAGTACCCCAAGGGTAACAGAAGGAATGTTCTGGAGTCCAACTTGAGAAATTTGATAAAGCAGCAAAAGCAGTCCAGCATTGACTCTTCCCTGCCTTCGTTGCATTATTACTTCTTATTCAAAGGAGTATGAAGATTACACCAATTTCTAGCCTTTTGTTTGAATCCAAAGCCATACAAGTTTCAGAAATCCTGAAAGAAAGAAAACCATATCCGCTTTATTATACATACACAGAGGTGTTTTCAAGCTCATCACTGCCTTTTTTTTTTTATTAAACGCAGTGCATTCTTCAAGGTAATCAGCTGAGATTTTTTTTTTATCAGAACAAAAATTCAAATTAAAAAAACCCACACAGTTTTTAACCTGGCATGAGACACAAATAAAAGGTATTTATAGAGATAATCCAGACAAGCACTGTGAGTTAAAAAGCCTGCAACTTCTCCTTCATGTCCTTCGACAGGCTTTGCATCATCTATAAAACCCCTGGGTGTTCCAAACATATTCTTATTAATACCCTGATTCAATCAGAATTTTTTAAATTTTTGTAAAGAAAATAAAAATTCTAAGGGTTTTGGTTTTCAGGCTATCTTTGCTATGTGTAGAAACTATTTCATGACCATTTCTAAAGCTTTCATAATGTTCCATATGAGCCAAGAATGAAAATTAGAAGTCACAATTTCAACAAGTAACAGAGACACAGCTGTGTACTTCTAAATGTAAGCTTTGAAAATTCTTATTGCTCTCCTAGTGACTGTAATTCAAAGTTTAGTTTAAAAGTATGCAATGGAGAAAAAACTGGGGAGGATATCACATACAAGAACAGCACATAAAACAGTCGTCCACTCAAACAGCGCATCCAGACAGTTACAGCAATATATTAATCTCCACCTTATTTATGCCAGCTAAAACAGGATTAAAATGGACTATAAAAGTTCTAGATATACCTAAAAATAGGGTTACTATGACAGAAAATGAGAAAGGCCATCAAGCTAAACTGTGCAAGTCTATAAAGAGACGATGGAGAAAGCGGCATTGAAGAATACAGAGGCTTGTCATGGAGTTTCTAGTGTGGAATCATCAGCAGAAGATAGAAGACACACAATTTCAAGAAGCTTCTGAGGGCTACCCTCAACTTGGCCAGTACTATTTTTAGTTCTCAAAACTTTCAAACATTGGGATACAGACTAAGCAAACTGGCTTGCTTAACTGCAGTGCATGTTTTGCATTCATGAATATCCTAGGCAACAGTGTTCACGGACAAGTCCACCCCTCCATCACAAGCCCATCTATTATGTTGCATCTTTTCCCTGATGGCTTGAGATGTCCTGGGCCCACTGTGCTAAAAATAATACACCCTTATGTTGCCAATCTAAGTCCATCTGAGCCACTTTCATCTTAGCAGCTTTATCCACCTGTTGGCTGTTCCGACATTCCTCAGTGGCCAGACTCTTCCGTGGGCATCTACATGGTGTACCTTCATCACCAGGTTCTGCACCTGGGCAGCAATATCCTGACAGTGGGACAGCCCAGAAGGGTTTACCTCTGGGTTGCCAGTTACTCTGTTTCCATCCAGAGGCTGAGGAATTCTCTCCCTTTTCCAATCACCTTGTCAGTGCCTCCTTCCCCAGAATGTGAACCCAGCTGCTTGGCTTCCCTACCCTCTAATTCCAGGCTATTGGCTTCATTATCCCACATTTAAGCAGGAGCAGCTGGGTGATAATGTGCTAAACTGCAACATGGGCGTGTTATCAACATTATTCTCAGACTGAAGCCAAAACACAGCACTGTACCAGCTACCAGGAAGAAAATTAACTCTATTTCAGCCAAAACCAGGACTACACTAAGTGAACACATGGAAAAGAAGGAAGTCACCTCTGAACAATGTTATCCTGTAACAACAAAAGGAACTATGAAACAAACACAAGGTTCAACACCAAAGATTCTAGAGGCTAGAGGTCATCTAGGCTAGAGGTCAGCCTACCTCCTCCACTTATATGCAAGTGAGAGGAGCATATATTTCCATGCTAGTTCACACACATAATTAATGGCACTTCTTAAAGCGTTATTCTAGTCTGGATTTCTCTCTCAATTGCATTTATGCTTACTACAGTATTTTACGAGAAGAAAAAAAAAAAAACAAAGAAAAAGGTATCATCCTCAAAACAACTATAGCTCAGAATAGAAGTAAATGTACTTGCTACATTAAACAGAAATTCACTGTTGTTTTTTTTTTCCACAGGGTCAATCTCAGACCTATGCCACATAACATCTAAGTCGTGCCCAAAACAGAGTGGAAACAGCAGAAACACACTTTATACCAGGCCTCTTGAACACCTAGACTAACTGGTCTAGAACTAACTAGACAGGTGCCTCTAAAACACAGTTTCTAGTCCTCACAATTCAAATACAGAGACCAAAGCTGTAGTCCCTACAAATTTCAAATGAGCTAAAACCTCTTAAAGCATAAATTGATTGTTGCAGATGATAATTAAAATATAATGATGATAATTCCCTGCCCATGGCAGGGCATTTGGAACTAAATGATCTTAAGGTCCATTCCAACCCTAACATTCTATGATTCTACGATTAACATTGTCAGCCTTTGACTTTTTAATATCAATGTTACAAAAAAAAAAAGTACTTATTACAAAAAAATTAATCAATGTCTTTCTCTTCTTCCATAATACATGCTGTCATACCAGGTATACCAATATCCCCGAAGTTGTCTTCTATGCATCTGCCCAAACCTCTGACTTTTCTCATACCACTGACACAACATTTTTTCCACCACAAAACTGTTGACATAAAAAACTGTTAGAATTTAAAAGTCTACATCATTTAAAGCTATGTGGAAACACCAAACTCTCACCATACCACATTGTTAACTTGCCAAATACTACAGACTTACTTCTTAACGCTTCCACCCCTGCTGTTGATACTCTTTAATTTCCAGCTACTTTTTACTTTATGGGAAAGAAACCCATATGCAGCATATATCCATAAAATAACCACATAACATGACTGGGAATGGCTTACACCAGGCTTACAGTAATGGTATGTATTATAAATCATTCCCATTATTGGGAGAAATCAAAAATGTCAGCCAAGACACATAAGTGATTATAAAGGAAAGATGTAAGAAAGAAAACAGTAGTTATTGTAGAGCCTTCTGGAGTGCAATTCAAAATGTATAGAGCTTTCAACTGTTTGAACATTCTTCCTCAGCCTCTACTCTGTTTATTAGAAGTCCAGTGAGGCTTAAGACAATGAAGCACTTATTCCTTTTTCTTTTTTGAAAACATGCCACCCACTTCAAGCTGTACAAATTTCCAGAACAGACTTGAAATGGCCATTTGTCTCGCATCTAGACTGCCACGTGTCTGCATTCTTGTCACCTACTCAAGATAAATGTCTGAACTAAACATCCTCAGAATTTGTTTGCTTTTGTACTAATCAAGTGCAAAACATTTAAATTTTATTTTTACTGCGATAAGCCCCCTTGCTCACTTGGCAACCATAAAATATTATGATTTCATATTACTGAAAATTCACGTAATAAATACTTCAGTAAATACCATTTGAAATTAAATGTTATACTGTCTTTTCTTATAGCTGTAATAAGTTAAAGAATCTCCCTGTATCCTTGCTCCGCCCAAAATGGACAGAGCTACCCTGAAATTTTGATTGAGGTTTCTGTGAATCAAGATCTAGCACACTGCCCTCCTCCTAAAACAAAAACAATAGTCACACTGTGACTTAAGCCTAGTTTTTCCTGAGATTTTTTATGACTAGACGGAAACATTTAACATCTCATGTCGACCAAGGGCATGAACACAGCTGTGATGTACAGATGCTGCTGTTATCTGCACGGCACATCCTCATCTTGACATCTGTCACCAACCTTCCTTCCCTCTAAAAAGGCTTGCTTCTCACTGCTTTACAAAAATGATTTGTAATGGAGGCCCTTTAGCATTGTATAACTCCTCACTGACAAAAATGAAAAAAAATGAAAAAATTAAATTCCAGGGTTACTCTTTCGGTTTGGATGAGGAATATGCCAATACGATTTTGAAGGGCATTTCTCCATTGCCCCCACTGACTTCACCGTGGCTGAAACTGGAGTGGCCTTAGTGTCCATAAACTAGTCTCTTCTCAGATTAAACTGATCAGGAGATGTATTCCAGGAAAGAATGCAGTGCACTCCAGGAAAAAAAAAAAAGGCATTCAGCCTCATGTTCAGATTAGAAGTAGACCAACATAATAAAAACATCTGAAACATCTCAATATCAGATCTTGAGCACAAACCGCTTCACACCCCACATAAACCTTAACACGTCCATACTGCTCATCTATAAAGATTCAGTCTCAAGGTATAAAGACTTATCCAAGTCAAGACTGAAACAGAAAAAGTGGTTTTAGGGCAAAAGCAGAAGCAAACTGTCACCCTTTTTACCATCAAATTAAATGTTATGCTGTGTTTTCCTATAGCTGTAACAGAAGCAAACTGTGACCCTTTTACCATTGCTCTCAAACTCTGGAAAAGTGAGGGGAAGGAAAGCATAACAAAAAAAATATTAGAAAAACGCAAGAAAAAAATTGAAACATAATGAATTATCCTGCTTATATTAATATGTATTCAAGGAGCAGGTCAACCTCAAGCTGTCAGTTACAATAAGCTTTGAAACATACAGACAATTACACAGTTCGTAACAAAAGATAAGGTTCTGACATAATTATAAAATCAATTACTTTATAATGAGTGACTTTGGGATTAATCAAACGTGCCTTTAAAGGGCATAATGCACTTTCATTCACAAAGGAATGTTGAACTTGAAACTGAAAAAAAAACATGTTTCAGACTTTTGTATGAGAAGTCATACATGCGTAATACAAACATTTCAAAAAATTAAGTCAGTAACTACCCTGCTGAAAGGAAACAAAACAAAGTTAAATACCAACATAAAATGACTGGAAAAAAGGCTAGGTCAAAGTATATTTTTTTTTTTTATTATGCCACATTTTAAGTGTTCTTCAAAGTTTTCTGTGAGAATAAGGAAGTTCTGTTTCTTCTGTATGCTTCATCATGAAAGCTGAAAAGAGGGTTAAAGAGCTATAAAACATTAAGTACTATGAAAAAGAAGCCCTTAACAAAACAAGCTTTTAAGCTAACAACAACTTAGAACTGAATTGTGTTCTGAAGGGTGTGGTAATTACTATTCAGAATAAAATACATATATGTTAATTTATGCTAAGAATACTTTTGGACACCTTATCTTAAAACAAACAGGATAGCTTTTGTAGGAAAGAACAGAAGGGACCAGGTCAAATCTCATACTCTGCAACACATCTTGAGTATGATAACCTGAGACAGTAACCATTTAAGGTTTTAACTGCCTTATTAGTTTGACTACTGATATTTGAACAAAAAATACTTAATGGCTGCAACCTGCCCATCCTTTAGTTAAAATACAGTTATTTAAATTATTTCATTATAATACTTGGCTTGCCATACCACTGGAAGCCCTGTCAATCTTGGACTTGTGTTTTCTTTCACAAAAGAGAAATCAGCTTCCTTTATATGTTTATCATATATTTAAATTTAATTAGGCTCAATATACAAATCTGAACATCAGAATGAGCACCCACTGGACCGTAAGGCTTATAATTGGAAAGAGTAGTTATATTCTCTGTCATAATTTGAGACTACTAACATGATCACTAAAATGTCCTTAATACAACTATACGTTATCCACCTGCTTCATTTCCTACATGGCATCCACTTCTAATTCAAAGTCTTTAAATTCTTCAGTTGACTACAATGACACTGAAGTCATAGCAGGCAACACCTCCTCACGCCATGTGAGGACATAGCACTTAGAACCAACAAGCTTCCTTAGGCCACCACTCCCAGAGAGATATAAATTTGAAAGCTTTAAACAGAGCAGTCATTCCGATTGCCCAAACAGTCCTTGAGTTCTAAGGAGCTATTACACTACCATGTACAACTAGAATCACCTGCACAATTTCTGTCAGAACTTCCCTTGAAGCCAACAAAGTTGACTAAGCATGGACTAGAAGACTTATAGCAGAAATTACATTACGCTATTGAAACACCAGCTTGACCCCCAGGCTGATACAACATGTTATGGGAAATTTACAGTAGCTAGAAACTGAACAAAACCAATGATCCCTAGTTGCAATAAGAAAAAGAAATGGGAGAACTTAAAGGTAAAAAAAGTACTGTATTAGCAATAGCAGAAAAATTATTTCATGTAACAGTCTTCGAAACCTCTTCAGTTTGTGAAAATTCAGATCAACAATTACAATCCAGAAAATTACTGAAAACATATTTATTATGTGCCTAATCTACCACTAAACTCATTCCTTCCTGATTTTTCAGTTTCCCCATTACCTTCAGTAGGCAAGCACTGTGGTTTATTCACATGCCTCAAAACAAAGGCCTAATCTATGGCAAAAAGGATTTACTTGTAATACATGCAGTAGCAATATGTGTTTCAATTTTGTCCTGGGTTCAGCTATAGCAGTCATTTTTCTCATTCTTAATAGCTGGTGCAGTGCTGTGCTTTTGACTTTCAGCCTGGGAATAACACTGATAACACTGATGCTTTTAGTTGTTGCTAAGTAATGTTTACTCTGACCAAGCACTTTCTCAGTCTCATGCTTTGCCAGTGAGGAAGGGAAGCAGAGAGGAAGCAGAGACAGGTCACCTGACCCAGACTAGCCAAAGGGTATTCCATATCACAGCACGTCATGCCCAGTATATAAGCTGAGGGTAGTTACCCAGAAGGCCCAGACTGCTACTCAGGTCGGACTGGGTATCGGTCAGAGGGTGGTGAGCAGTTGTATTCTCTGCCCTTGTTATTTCTCTTATCGTTATTATTATTGGTGGTAGCAGTAGCGGGGTTTTGTTACACCTTAGTTACTGGACTGTTCTTATCTCAACTCGTGGGGGTTACATTCTTTTGATTCTCCTCCCCATCCCTCTGTGAGCTGGGGGAGTGAGCGAGCAGCTGCATGGTTGAGTTACTGGCTGGGCTTAAACCACGACAAGTTTTCTCCTCTGGAGACAAAGATCATACCAGCCTCCTCATAATGCAATATCAAACAGCTCCTGAAGAGCAACAGCCTAATAAAAAAAAACTTTTTCACTATTATGGCTTATTCTAGTCAAGAAGCCGATTCTGAATATAGTGTCAAAAGAAGTAGGTTTTGCTTAAATAAGTTTCATATAAAAAAATTATGCTGCAAATGTCAAATCATTTAACTTAGTTTAGTCTAAGACAGGAGATAGTACAAGGTGGAATGGCTTTAAAAAGCATAAATTTGGATTGGATATAAGAAATAATTTATTTACAATAAGGGTGGTGAGGCACTGGCACAGGTTGCCCATAGAAGATGTGGCTGCTCCATCCCTGCAGGTGTTCAAGGCCTTGAGCAGCATGGTCTAGTGGAAGGTGTCCCTGCTTGTGGCAGGGGGTTGGAACTAGATGATCTTTAAAGTCCCTTCCAACCTTAACTATTCTATGAGTCTGATTTTTATAACTTACACCTATCAAAGTCTATATTTTAGTAACTCTCCTTAGAAATTACTAAGGTTTTCCTCCACCGAAAAACAACCACAAAAAAAAAGTCTGTGACTCCACACAGGAGCCACTATAGCAATGTCAGGGGCTTGGGTTTAGGTTTTTTTTTTATTAGAAAACCTAAAAGCAACCCAGAGATAGTTTACCTCTAAATTTATATGCCACATATAATCAGATAAAGGACTTTCGACCAAGACAGAAAAACGCATGTATCAAAAATTAATTTCTTTCTTTGAAGCTTCAGCTATTGCTGAAGCTCTCTAGTCAGTCATAATTACTTTATCATAATAGTTTGAGGAGAGATAATGGACTTCCCTTTCCAGTTCTGCGGAAGGAAAGACATGTAAAGGTTTAATAAATATTTTTACTATCCCCATCTCATTAGTAACTACCTCTCAAAAAAATAGGACACATTTACACATAATTCAAACCAGAGAATTAAAATAATAATTATTTATAGTTATATCACAGTTTAAGATAACAAAACTACATCAGAAAAACAGTGGACCAGACAAGGCCACAGTCAGAATTTTAACTGCACAGATGTTCAACTACTTTAATTAGGGTCAGAAGTGAGGGGATTTTTTTTTTAAGCTTGACTGCAATATTTGCACTTGCATAACCCTAAAACTGGGTATTTAAACCAGAAGAGCATCCTCAATTATACCAAGAATCTTGTGACATAATTTAAAAAAAAAAAAAAAAATGCTCCCCTAACTCCACATCAGAAGTGTTAAGCACAAGGGCTGTTAAAAGTTAAGCATTCCTTAGTTTGTTGCTTTGAGTGAAAATTTGACTGCAATTTGTAGGAGAATTGAAGGACAGGAAGCTTACTTTCTAATTAAATGCTTTTCAAATAATATTGGTTAAATACAGAAGCAATTCACAAATACATACTCTCAAGTGTTAGTTTTAGTTTTTGTCAAGACCTCAAATCTTTTGCAATTAACAAAACGCAACTCCAGGGAGATCACTGCACTATCTCAGGAAATTGAACCGACCCCACTATCATTTAAACACAGTTTACAAACACTTGCCTTACTTAAACGCAGTATTTACACAAGCACAAGAAAGCTTACCAAATAATAGGTTAAGTACATTTGACACTGCTTTTCCTTTGATATAGTTATTTACAGGTTTGGATTCGGCCTTTAAACCACCCTATCATGCTAACAAGGAAAGAAAGCCGTATCATTCTGGAAGATTTTTTTTTTCAATTTATTATTTACACAAACTGTAAAAAATACTCTGTAGGAAAAGGCAGTAAATAAAAGTTGAAGCCACCCAACTGTCACGAGCAGCAGTGCGTACTAAGGCGTCGCTGCATTTAAAATTAATTTGCTGCACCTGACTGATAAGACAATCGTATCTCGGTTTTGGAACCTGGGCATCAGCACTGCCACATCTGTGCCAGTTTTAACTGTCACCTTTTTCAGGCACTGCTTCCTTCTACCGTCTCAAAAGCATTGGCAAGAGCAGAGTTCTCAAGAAAAGGGGAAGAGAGGGGATGGCAGGGGGCAATCCTAAGAGCTGTCAAAAAAGTGAAATATTAGATATTCTGCGATTTCTGAAACTCACTGCTATTCCAAGCACCCATAAACTTCACTCCACCGCTCTGCTTTCAGCGGCGGGGAACGAGCTAAGCTCGGAGGAGAGAAACTTACTAAAAGCCAGCTCCGGTCAACCAAAGCCTTCAGGGAAAGCCCACCACAGCCCAGGCACCTCTGAAGTGCGTTTTGTCTGGGACCGGAGGCACTCTCCGGGCACAAGCGAGCGGCAGCTCGACGGACACGACACCCAAGCCCGGGCCTCGCCTCACTGCCGGCTCCCACCCTGCGGGGCGGAGCGGAGCCCACAGGCCAGCGACCTCGCAATGCCACGACAACCACCGCCGAAGCCCTTCCGAGCCGCCCCGGGCCGGGCTGAGGGCGCAGCGGGCCACGCCCTCCGGGAGGCAGCGGCGGGACACTTCGGAGCTGACTGCCGATGGCTGATGGCAGCCGCCAACCCAGCTCCGAGCGGCGGCAGCGGCAGCAGCAACCGCTACAGTGGCAGTGGCAACTGCGGCGGCGCGCACACCCCTCCGCGCCACAGCACTCACGTTCTCCGGTGGCGGCGCAGCAACAGCAGCAGCCCAGCGCCCCCGCGCCGCGCCGCACCACGTGACAGCGACAACCACTCAGCGGCGAGGGGGGTGGCTCCTTGAACGTGCCTCCTGTGCGTGTGCGCAGGGAGGCGGCTGAGCTGGCCTCGTTGGGCGGGCTGTGTGGAACCGTGCGGGTAACGCAGGGCAGGCGGGCCTAGTGTGGCCTAATGGTGCAAAGCCCGTTGCCTAGTCTTGCAGCGCTCTGCTCGGGCGCCGAGATACTCATCTGGGAGAGGGACAGCGCCTCCTGTTAGCTTTATGTACACTGCAGGCAAGGGGGGGCGGTGTTGCGGGTAATACAAACTGGGGAAGATAGGGGGTGTCTAAAGGTGGTGAGTGCGCTGCTTTTCTAAGTAAAACGTTCAGTGAATACGCTCTGGTAAAATACCGGCTCCATGTAAGAAAAGCATCTTTTACCTTCTCACTTGGAAGGCTTTGAATTGTGTTTATTGTAGAAACATCTGCGAAAATATCTGTTACTGGTGCTACTTCTCGTTAACATGCATAATTAGGTTCCTTTTGAAAACGTCTTAGGACCCATGCATAACAGTAACTAGTTCTGTAAGTTAAATCGTTCATTAAAGGTAATTAGAGGAACACATTAGTTTCACTTCTGTGGAATGCTAGTCACTGGTGTTAAGTATTATTCCCCCAAATTTATATAGGTATCTAGAGTGTGAACGTTGTTACTAATATTCAGTCGGGAACATAGAGAAAATCATAAATGCCTAAAATAATAGGTTATCATAGAAATACTGGCAAGCTGATGATGCAAATATGTGACTAAAAATGAATCATACAAAATCCATTGCAGAAGCTACATGTAAAAGGCCCTATTTTGCCATCATTTATGTGGCACTTAGGTTTCATAGAACACTTTGGCAATTCATTCAAGTATGTCATAGAATTTATTAGAAAATTGTATTCTGCTCTTCCAAAAACAGCACACAGCTCTGCAGACTGGCAGGCTTGAAAGGGGCTGAATTCCTAGAAACAGGGTGGAGATCAAGTTGAAGGAGCAGACTTTGCCAAAGAAAGCAACTTCAGCATAGTGCTCTCTTCCAAGAACTAGCAGAAGCCAAAAGAGGAGGGCAGGTTCAGTGTGTGCCACCATTTAGATACACTGTCTCAAGTTCTTTAGTTTTGGCACATTCTGATCTGTTACCTCAATGCTAATCCTTATAATTCATAGAAATCACAAGATGTGGGAGTTAAAAATGTGTAGGCTTACTGATTCTCTATCATACACCAGGTTTTCTACAATTGGCACCATTTTCTGTAGTAGTGTACTCAGTTTTCATGCAGTCATAATTCCAGTCCATAATTCCTAAAGATGCCATATTTATTATCTGAGTGCGGGTCTAGATCTTATTACTAGATGTACAAATCCTGAGACTGTGGTTCTCTTCTGGGACCTAGAAGATCTGGATTTTATTCCTAGTTCACAACCTGAGCAATCATTTGTTAATATTGCATATTTTCAGGTACTTACTGGTAATGGCAGGGGTAACAGAAGTCACAGGAAGAGTGGGAGTCTAAGTAAATGAGTATTCAGGTAAGACAATGTCCCTTTCCATTCAGGTAACTATTAACAATACAGGTTCTGCTTCCTAAGTATGGTATGCCTGATTAGTAAGAGAGTTCAATACTTGGAAAGAAAATAAGGAAGAAATAAACAAAAACATTTTCATAATCCATGTACACTTAGCACGGGAGTGACGCATATGGTTAGCACTGCTTACGCCTTACTGCTAACTATATAATCCATGTAAATATTTATAATACAGCTATTATCAGTGTAAACATACAGCTTAGTCATATGTTGACCCATAATGAAAAAGTGACATTGAGATCTTTCCTTCGCTTAATAGCACAAGGTTTAAGGGTGTTAGGAGCTGTTGAGCAGGTTTCAGAACACTCATTTTTCTGAGATTTATACTGAGGCTTTTTGACATGAAATAATTGGGAAGGAGCAGCCTGCTATGGAATGCATGGATGTAAATTGAATCCATATCTGAAGGATGTTGTTTTAATTAATGCTGGGAATCTGATACCAGCATATTTGAAACACTGTTTATGTTAATCTTGAAGGAACTAGTTATGACTAGCCTACAAATGTGAGAATGTCAAAGCATGGTTATAGTAAAGGAACCGAACTGAGAGAAGCAGTAACCCAGAATTTGATACATAGAATATTATGAGTCTGTCATAAAATTAACAAAGTACAGATGATTAAAGGAGCAGTTTAAACATGTTATGAGTTTATACGCAGCTATTGTACCCCTGCTACCATTCTGGTTCTGAAAACAACACAACTCTTTGGAAACTGTGGAGGCAAGCCCTTCTGAGAAATACATACAGAAACAAGATCTGATAACAAATGTTTTGTATGAATTCGGGGCTTACTCTTTTGGAGTCTTTGATGTGACATCAACTTTGTATTTGTTATGTAGCCCACCCATACTAATTTTCCCTTAGTGTTGCACTTTCTCCAGTTCAGCATCACCAATGCTGTAACTTCATAATACAACACGGAAAAATGGAGTGAAAAATGTAGATGCTTTCTCTCCAGCTTGTAGAGATAAAAAGGAATATATCCTGGAGGTTCTTAATCTGTTTGTGTAGTCTGCCAGAAGGAATAGAATAAATGTCTGGTGGAAAATAAAAGATGGCATTAGTTTGAACGTCGGCTGGAAGAAACAGACTAAAATCAACAAGGATTCATACCACAGCCAACGGATGTTTGATCATCTAGTCACCTCCTGTTTATCCAGATGCTTCCACATTGTGTTGAGAGACTTCAGTTAAACCAAAGTATTTTCATGCTCAAAAGCCTAAGCTGTTGTATGTGACCAGAAGCAAAGAGAGTAGACCAAAAGGCAAGGTTAAGGAAATGAATGTGTGAAGTATGCCAAGAAGATGGTACCAGGCAATCCCTCTACACAGCTAAAGAGCTTTCTAAATAAAGGTGTCAAAGAAAATACAATATGAGATCACAGGTGAAAACAAACTATAATGTAAAAAGTTATTGCTTGTGGAATAACAAGAGGGTAACCTGCTATCACCTAAAATTGATTTTAAAACATGTGTATGCAAACACTTGTCTTTATTTTGCTTGACCACAAAAATGTTAAATAATTATTACTGAAACAGTCTAAAAGTTGTTAGCCATAATAATACTATAGGTAGAAAACATTCTGTGGAATACAGTTCTTTTTTCAGTGGCAATATAATTCATATCTCATCATTCACAGTTTATATAAAACATGAAGTTAATGCTGGCACAGAATTTTTGTTAATACCATAGCTGTGAAAATGTTGTGATTATTTCCCATTTCCATAAAGCACTCACACAATGTTCTCCTTTATGGAAACATGGGGTTTGATCCAATTTTTAATGAAATTTTAACTGCTTTATCACAAGGTTGTATCAGTAGTCTGGTGACATCTTTATGTGCTCCACTGGCCTGCAGGGTGCCAGGAAAGTGGAAGCAGTGTTCTCCCCCAAGGAGATGAGCATTGATCTATAGCACTCCCAGGCTGCCAGCTCTCAAAGTAGTGCTAAACCAGAGGTAATACTGGATGGCTTTATCTGGCACTCCATGTAAAGAAGGATTTGTAAAAGATGGTAAAAGGATTTCTCTAGAAATTACATTAAGCCCCTTTTTGGAAGTCTTCCTCTCTATTTCCTCATGAATATAAGAGTAGAATCCAGGTTCTGCATGTTACTGCCTTTTTATGCTAACATTGGTTCTGAAACTTACATGCTCCCTAGCCCAACTCATGTCCCCTGCAGAGAGGTTGAGAGGCAGGTGTGGGGAAGCTGTTGGAAGAGGAAGATACCAGTGGAAGTGGTCCTAATATTTTACTTCATGATTCAGTCTTTTTATTTTCGTTTTTGTGCAATAAAAGAAGCCATATTTCCCTTGGAAATTTAAATCCCAGAAGCAGTGAGGAAGCATAGTATGTCATAATATTGAAACTGGAATTGATTCTTCAGTTTTGGGTTTTGTTGTTTTTAACTTAACTGACTTTCTGAAGCTGTCTTTAACATCCTACATTTTATTTAACAAAAATAAGCCTAACAACCACATCTCTCGTGGCTCAGTGTGTAAATTCCCCTGATCAGCCTCACCTGGGCTCCCTACCGACACCTCTGCCCATAGGCCCAGGAGCCCCATATAAGGTCAGCCCCAGAACTGGGTTTCTTTCTTACATAGGCTTGTAGCAGCATTGGTCTCTAACTCTATCATTGCCTTGTTCTGGCTATATGGCCTGCTGAACTGAGCTGATCCTGATCTCCCGGACTTCCCCCAGCCTGCCTCATTACTGTGGGCTGCCTGTGATTTGAGCTCTTTGTTGAACCTAGCTGCCACTCCTGGGCCTTCCATATCCCTTGCTTGGGTACCTTGGGGCTGGGCACCCTTCACATAGGTTGTCCCAGAGAAGGAAAGAAGCAATTATGATATTCAAGGCAGTAAATC